GGTAATATTTAATTCGACTCAAAAATTGTACATTTTATTTTGTCACATAATTTTGAATGCTAACACACGAACAATATTGAGACATAATGTACACATGCTAAGTATAGTGGGATCATCAAAATCTATCAAAATAGGGTACTAACACAACTCCATTCTGTTGAGGAGTTCTGGTTGCAGAGAGTTGATGCATTGTTCCATTCTGGTCACAGAAATCCTTTATGACCTGGTTGACAAACTTTGTTCCTTTGTCAGATCTTATGGTCTTGACCTTCAGGTTCGGTTCATTCTGCAGTAGTTTCAACAGAGATGGTAGTTTCTGCAGTGTTTCATTCTTCTTTTTCAAAAAGATTGTCCAAGTGTATCTTGAATAGTTATCCACCCTGACTAGAGTGTATTTCTTGCCACCAACACTTGGGGTCTCTACCGGTCCAAATAAATCCATGTGGATCAGATTTAAAGGACTTGTAGAAGGATCTCCAGCAATGGGTTTGAAGGAGTTCTTCATTTGTTTTCCTTTCTGGCATGCACTGCACAGGTTCTCCCTCTTGTACACAATGTTGGGCAGTCCATCAACAATGTGATCCCTTGCTAGCTTGTTGATTGTTTTGAAGTTCAAGTGGCTCAGCTTCTTATGCCATTCCCAGCTAAGCTTTGAATCTCCTTTGGCTATCAGGCAAATTCCTACTTTTGCAGTAGACCAATCAACAACATATATGTTTCTTTTTCTGGTAGCTGTCAGAACTACTTCCTTAGTTGTCTCATACTTGACAGAACAACCTTCTTTTGAGAATTCAACAGTGTAGCCTTTGTCACAGAATTGGCTAGCACTTAGCAAGTTGAATTTCAGGCCTTTAACATATGAGACATCTTCAATTATTATCTGGTTCTTGATCAGCTTGCCTCTACCTTTTGTTTGACCTTCTTTCTCATTACCATCAAATGTAACTCTAGGTCCTTTGCATTTCTGGAACTCTCTTAGGCAACTCTTGTCACCTGTCATGTGCCTGGAGCATCCACTATCAAAGTACCATTCTTGTTCAGAGATGGCTCCAGCACACAGTTCCTGCGAAATTAAAAGGAAGATTTAGGTACCCAAGCAATGTTGGGTCCTAAGGGGTCATGCAGTCTGGGTAGCCGGTACCACTTTGGTATCATCAAGTGAAACCTTGGTGAGTGGTACCCATTGTCCACTTGGTAGTCATAGTAAACGGAAGCGTGATTCACCTTGGGTAGAAGTCCCATATACTATCAAGAGCAGAGGGGCGGTTAGCTTTGGGCTTCTGAAGTTGACCAGCCAACCTCTTCTGCCTAAAGTTAACCTTCTCTTGATATTTGCCTCTCTGGTGATCATCTCTGGTGGGGTAGTCATGAGAATGTCTGGTAGAGTTCTGTCTTTGATTTCTGTTATTTTGAAAACCTTTTCTGTTGTTAGGTTTTCTGCCAGGTTCATTAGTTTTCAAAACTTGTTTTGGTTGAACCTTTATCTTTCGGTTTTCTGGTCTGACAATCTAATGAACCACCTTGGTACCAGATACACTACCTTGGCAGATGGGGCTAGAAATCAGTGGCTCTATGACCTTTTCTGCTTGAGCAACTCTAATGCTAAGCATTACAGAAGATTTACCTGATTCTGTTGAGCCATATCCAAGACCAAAACCAACGCCAATTTGTTTGTCAAGTAGTAACCTTTCCATTGAAGACTGGGCCTTATGGTAGGTGTTGTACTTGATCTCAATTGACTCTATTTCTCTTACTCTCTTTAGAAGAGAAACATTTTCAGCTTCCAGCTAATCTCTTTTTTCAGCTTACTGCTTTCTTCTTTAACAGAAGAATAAGTGGGTTGGATGGTCTTAAACTCTTCCCAAAATTCAGACATTGATTCTGAATCAAAAGCTTTACCTACCGAAGAAAAACTAGAAGCAAAGGTAGAGGATACATCATCATCAGATTGACCCATAAGGCATAGGTCTTCAGTCTCTGTATCCAGGCAACAGAATGCCTCATCTGATTCTGATTCTGAGCTTGATTCTGTCTTAGAGAGGGGGTCCTTCTCTGATTGCTCAATGATGAGTGCCTTCCTCCTTCTATGCTCATACTTCTTTTCTCCTTCTTGGCCTTGCCTTTTGGAGACTATGGGGTGTGGGCAGTTGGCTTTGAAATGCCCTGGTTATCTGCAATTGTAGCAGAGAAGCTCTCCACTGCTTTCTGATGACTTGGTTTTCTGGAAGGGCTTTCTGCTGGAGGATGGGCTTCTGCCATCCTTGGGCTTCATAAATTTCCTGAACTTTCTGGCAAAGGCAGCCATATATTCATCAGTTAAAAGTATGGAAGGGTCAAAATTATTTACCTGTGAAGTGCTGGCTGTGAGGGCAGTAGTTGTTCTATCCTCAACTTCTTCTGTCTCCTCTTCATTCATCTCGAACTCATAAGACTTGAAATTAGAGATGAGTTTCTCAGTGCTGTAGGTTCTGAGATCTTTGTTGTCTCTCATGGCAGTGACCATCTTCCAAGGAGAGGGTAGACCTCTGAGAACCTTCAAGTTGATCTCCTTGGGAGTGAGGTCCTTCCCAAGCTCTGAGATCTCAGCAGTAAGGGTGAGCAAGCGTGCATACATCTCAACTATGCACTCTTTGGATAGAAGCTTGAAGTCTTCAAACTTCTTCATAGCAATGGTCAGCTTGTTATCTTTCTCCTGCTCATCACCAGCTCCTATCAAGGTAAGAGTATCTTAGATAGTTTTAGCAGAGCTGCACTTCTTGATCCTTGTGAAGTATTTGTCATCAATGGCCTTGTACAGGATGTCCTTGGCTATGTTGTCAAGGTTGTACTTCCTCCTTTCTTCATTTGACCACTCATGGTGAAGCTTAGTGATCATTTGAGGTAGACCACTACCAACAGTATATTCAGGATTCACTTTTGTGAACTCAGTGAATGGACTTGCATCTGGGACTTCCCACATTTCATCATGTAGTGCGCAGAGATGGGCCTTCATGCGTATCTTCCAGTCATCAAACTTGGTAACTGAAAACATCAGATTCTTTGAAAGAGTGTTATCCATAATAAGAGATTAAAAGAGGCTAAAACAAGTGGATCTCTGTTCAGCAAGTAACCTAAAAGATTACAAGAACGAGGAGGCTCTGATACCACTTGTTGGTCCCGTTTATATTAGAAACAATCTAGAGGGGGTGAATAGATTGTTTTGATTTTCCAAACTTTTCTCTAAGTCGACTCTGACTTACCTGACAAGGTCTAGTTCTGGTGACAGAGAAGGTCGCGTTCTGATGACATAACTGGACCTGGAAGCGGATTAGGTTCTTTCTTGGTAGCATCGGAAAAAAAACTAAGGCAAATGTCTTTCTGATAACTCTGAGAACAAGATCTGTTGAACACAGAGTCCAAATTCTTAGGAGTTATGTAGTCAGAATCTTAAGTGCAGAAAATAAATGCGTAAAGTAAAAGACACCGGGGTTTTTATAGTGGTTCAAGGAACAACGTGTTCCTCTAGTTCACTATTCCACTAAGCTTGTAAGTCAACAATTACAATGCCTTAGTCCCTAGAACTTAAGAAGCACTCCACATCTTCTTCAAGCCTAGTTGCCACCCGGGATGCAGTCCTTGCTTCCTGATGGCTGGTCTCGTTTCACTGAGTCTCTTGAAGTATCCCCACTTCACTTACTCCAGCTAGTTTGAGACGTCCCTTCTTTTTCAAGAAGTGTTTGATTTAAAATCTGTTTTCTCTAACGTAGCTTCGTCACAAAAGATATGTAGTTGAAGCTTTAGAAGTGTTGAAGAACTAAAGAAACGATTCTCTCACGTTGGAAAGAAGAGATATGGAGTTTATAATCTTTTCCAACGTTTGGGTGTGTTGCTCATGATGAGTAGAGGTTGAAGTCTTTGAGCGTTTGAATATTTGAACTTAGAGAGATTGATCGTTGAATCGGTGTTCTACCAATCCTTCGAAGTGTATCATATATACCGGGAGCAGTCTTTCCGTTGGAGTGTAGAAGACAACTTCATTAGATACTTGTACTGTTTGATTTGACCGGTTGGTCCTTGACTTGCTATTTTGGGGGCGAAAGGATATCCACATGGTCAATCATCAGCTTTAAATATCTCAATATACGTACCACATTAATTGAGCATTTAATGCGTGTACAGTACCATGTTCCGTCGAATGGCTCCTAGCCGTTAGGAAATTTCCCGTTAGTTTCACGGCCGTTGGAAGTGCCTTCGAATTCTGCTAAGTATCAGCAAATCTAGTGAGGCTCTCTGGTTGAGATTCTGATGACCGCATCTGATGCCAACTCTGGTACCCAACTCTGGTAGCTTCTCTGATGAGCAACTCTGATAGCATCTCTGATGAGAAAGTCAAAGAGGGTCTCTGATCAGTCGACTATGCTAATACTTACAAAGAAAATTCTAATACAAAATTTCTAAAGGGGTATTTTAAAATTCTAATTAACCTAGCATCATCAAAATCTAAATACATTTATTCCTTATAACATAGAAAAAACATTATTGTTACTGTGTTACTGTATAAGGTGTATACTCGCATAGTCGCATCTAATAATTTCGTCAAAAAAGAAATAAGATTTGTAACTTGTGAGCCCTGCAAGTAGAGAAGCCTCTTGCCTCAATGCACATCTATTCTAGTCTCCAATTTGCACAAGATCAATTCTAATAAAGGCCATAAGAAATTAAAGACGTGACCCTTTTATTTCTACCGATCAGTGATCACCGGGAACTTTGTACATATCAGCATTGATTCCCGTTAACCACAATCCAGGAAATAGGCTCTGCGATTTTAATCCATTTGGGTGAAAATCAGATAGAGACATAGAGTTTTAGTGGGAAAGAATAGCAATTTAAAGATTGAATAATGTAAAAGTGGATGAAAAGGGACTTACATCCAGATTTTTCTGGATAAATTTAGCTCGTTTCTTGTGCCGGTGGTTGGGTTTGCGACCTATTAGAGCATCTCCAATGCAAGGGTCTTGTCTCTTATACACCCTTATGCATTGGTCCCATTTTTTATTTCAGACTTTTTATGTGTAGGACCCACATATTTCCTAATTTATTTTCATTTTCATTTTTTTATATCACTTGTAACCCACTTTTCATCAACTTTTCCTCCTCGAATCCCGTGTAAGGTCCATTTATGAACCTTGTCATAGACCTATATCTACTTTTTATCTCTATCTCTCTCATCTTTTTCATTTTTCCCTACACACCACTTCATTCTAATATTCATTCTATCTTTATCTCTCTTCTATTCCACATCACTACAATCCACCCTCCCATTGGAGATGCTCTTATGCAACTAAACCTTCCTCGATCTCTCTCCGAGTAAAGGAAACGGAGAACTTCGCTCTCTGCCGCTTCAGCGCGGTGGAAGAAGCGGTGGCAGTGACTACGTTAGGATGCTTATTTCCCGACCGTCGAGTCCGCAAGTTCCATGGTCTGGCGGCTTCTGATGGACCCACCAGCGTAATAGTCTCCGAGCACCTCGTTGGCGTCGGAGGTAGTTCCTCACGCTCCTCCGCCACATGCGGCTGCTCTCCATCCCACAGCCTCGTTCCCAAGATTGCCTCCTTCATCTTATCTGTTGCCACCTGGATATCAAGCAACAGTTTCTCCCTCTCGGCAGAGATCCCGTCTTCTACTTCCGCCCTGAATTCCCAGCTGCGCTCCGTCCGCCCATTTTGAAAAACACCCACGCTAAGAATCCGCTCATCAGAATCCACCTGGGCCTTCGCCCTCCTACCAATTTCTCCGGCGACGGTCCATTCGGCCATCGGTGAACGACATCGACATTTTCGTTCGGGAACTTAGGGTGGGATTGGTATCCCCACATCAAACCACACGGCAGTGTATAATTGTTCAGTGGCGGCTTCTATCTTTGAGAATCCATTCACATTCCACAAATGTTAAAAGTACCCCAAAATGTACCTCATTTTTACCGCATCCCCTAATGTGTAGCTATAAATGGGGCAATTCATTTAAGTGGGGCACCACTTAAATGAAGTTGTGACCCATTTATGGTCACACATTAGGAGTGGGGGTAAAAATGAGGTACATTTTGGGGTACCTCTAGCAAAACTCTTGCCATTTAGTGCATGTTTGGTTCGGGGTAATCATTTATATAGGCCGGAATCTCATGTCCGGAATGTGAGATGTCCATATTTGGTTCGCGAGTTTGAATTTTTTTTGTAAATGATATATTATCAAATCGAAATTAATGGAGTGACATGTCTCGGAATGTCAAAGCCATATATCTCTTAGGTTATCTTACATCACCCTCTTTGATTATAAATTTTGTTCAAAAATTACTCTTGCTAATTTAATTAGCATTCTATAATAGCTCTTCAATCCTATCTAGGTCTTCTCTTCATTCAAATTTGTCCAAATTTTTTCCTCTTCATTTTACAAGAGTAATTGCTCCCTAAAAATTTAATGTTTAATCCTCTTTAATATTCTTTTGATTATTCTTTAATTTTCTTTTTAATCTATTTTAATTTTCTCTCTATTTTTTCAACACATTGTGCCGTTCTTTGAATTTTTCTTTAACTTTCTAATTTTTCTTTGAATCATTAAGCAGAGACAGGTGAAATAAAAGGACATTACTTTTCTTATTATTGTGCCTATTGTTTTTAAAAATTTAGTTCACTCTTTTGCTAATCTCAAAAGACAGTTTAGCACAATTGAGTAGAGCAACATTGACTTGTTCTTTTTATACATCTTTTTTTGTAATTATATATTCACATTTATTTATTAATGTATATATGTCATTATGTATTTACTTAAACAAAAATATTTATTAATGTTCACTTATCTTTATCTTTTGGTGCAACATCCACAATGTATCTTTGTCATTTGTAAAATTAATTATAAGTCATTCGATTTTGATTTTATTTAGTGTTAAGGTATTTCTTTTTTTTTCTTTAATTTAAGTTAGTTAAATGTAGATTGTAATAAGTTTATTGTGCTAAGAGAAAACTTTTAAAAGGCATTGGAGTAAATCACCAAATTTGTAGTATAAGATATCACTCAACCAAACAAATTAATACGCTATTCCCTTAGTCTTAACTAAACCTAAATGGGAAATAGTTGAATACATTCCCATCAATCTAACATACCCAGCAATCTGACATTCCCAAAGTAATCTGGCATTTCATGAAGCAAACGGGGCCTCAAACTATATCCTTGTTCTTCACTGGCCAGCTGGGGGAGGTGATTGGGTCAGGGTTGGGGTTAGTTGGGGGCTGAGAGGACTTGTGGGGGAGTTGGGAAGGGTTCTAGATTGGTGCAGGGGCCGGGAGGGGCAGGTGCGGGATGGAGGCGGCAGTCACTTGACTGGCGGTGTCGGTGATCGGCGTGGTGGTCACTGAACGGAGCGAGGTAGTCATTGAATGAGCTATGCGTTTTTCACTGCACTATAGTTAATGTTTCACGTTTGTCACTGCATTGTGGTCACTGTGTCGGCTGATGGACGATTGTCATTGTGGCCGGTGGGTGGGCTAGTAACTATAAAATTTTCACTGTAAAATATCACAGTAAAATTTTCAAGTTTAAATTATCAACGTAAAATCACTGTAAGAGTTATCACTAAAATTGTCACTAGGCATTTGTCAGTGTAAAAGAGTCACTGTAAAAGAGTCACTGCAAAGATGTCACTATTGCATCGTCATTGTAGCACTGTACTATAATTGTCATTTAAGTCTTTTTAGTCAATTTTTTGGAAAATTTGAAAAATGGTCAATTTGTTTTGTCTATTATCCGTTTTATAGTAATATTCAAGTCAAAACCCCTACTTAAAAACTACGACGGAGTAGTAACCAAAATATATGTTTCCTTATTTGAATGGTCTTATTATGTTTTTTGTAACTTTTTCTTTAGAATGTCAAGAAAATTGTATAGATGTAGACATTGTGGTTGACATTAATTGTAAAATTATATAACATCATTGAAAAAATGAGAGAGAAATGTTAATGATTTATTTTTATATATTTAATTCTCTAATGCCACATGTGCTCATGCATATTATTGCATTAGAAATACTCTAAGAACATCTACACTGTTTTATATGTGGATCTCTCTATTGCCACATGTGCACCATACTTTATTGCATCAGAGATGCTCTAAGAACATCTCCAATGCAAATGCGTTAATGACGCACACGTGGTAGAAAAGATGTAGTGATTATACAAAAAATAATAACTAATAGAAAGTTGTTCACATTCTTTCCACAGTGTCATAAATATACGGTTCGTTTTTGTTCGCAACATCAAATACACCATCTACACCTAGACATTGTATTTGAAATAATGAATAAAAAGTAAATAAAATTTATAACACAGTAGAAAGAAAAAGAGAAACTTTTTATTAATTAGTTCTTTTGTGTCTATATCTTTCCTGCCACGGTGTATCGTTCACACATTTGTAGGGATTTTAATACTCTGTATTTCACTATATTTTTTATTACCTATAAATATTTATACATGTATAATTATGTATACATGTTAAAAAAATATTGCACTCCTGCATGCGGGGTTTGTCGAATGAAATTTCGTTATTTACTTTTCGTTTTATAAGGATTTATAATTTTAATAGTATAATATAAAAGAATTATCCGCACGTAAATTTATAAGACCAGAAAAAACATATATATTTACATAAATCAGATTATATTAGATTAGTTTTAGGATGTTTATAATTGGACTAAACATATATATTTAAATAAATCATATTATATTAGATCAAGTTTCTAGTTGAATATGATTTAATCCAATTTAGGACTGACACGAGTCCAATTGAAAACATTCTTAGATAATATATATAAAAAAAGAACCATAATAGATCATATTGGACCAATGATATTTTTAATTGGACTATATTTTTAGTCTTATCTGTTTAACTCTAGTTGGTTAGGTGTGGTCTCAGCTTGTGTGATCCGGTTTGGTACTGTTGGGGTAATTGGCCCAATACAGGGTCGGCTCAATACCCCCCATGAAGAAGCGGAATCGGAAGCCGAACAAGGCCTTAAAGCCGTTCGGGCCCTCTCAGGCAGCACGTCCCGTGCGGCACCATGTCCTTGAATGATTTGCATTGACGGTCATGGAGCTCTTAGCTAGCAAGCTCGGTTTGATTGGTGAGAAAACAAAGATTTTGGTAGGAAACACATTTAATGCACTAGATATGCAAGATTTTATGGTTGGAGGATTAACCACTCAACATCCTCCACATCATTAGGGGTGGACAAAAATAACGGAAAATCCGTATACCGCACTTACCGTACCGAAAAATACCGGAAAATACAGGAATATTGATATACCATCATTTTCGGTACGATATCATACCGTACCGATTTATTTCGGTACGGTAACGGTAAATGTTTTCAAATACTGTGGTTTAGCGGTAACCAAGCATTCCAGTCCAGCTGGTTGTGAGGTTACTGTGCCTAGTGGGAGGTCTCGAGTTCGAAACCCGCTAGGCACACAAGGGTTTGAAACTCAATTGAGTGAGTTTCAGCCCTGATTACTCCATCTCTCCTCCCCCAGACCCCCTGGAGTAAAAAAAAACCATGGTTTACCGGTATAATACTGTACCGACTCCCTACCTAACAATTACGCTAAATTCTAAAATATTGTAAAAGTCCATTGCAATTTTGAAGCCCAAAATTAATACTTATGTTGGTTACAAATAATAAATACACAAATAAAGGCTCAATTTCTCAAACCCACTATAACCTTCTAGGCTATTACTATGTAACCTTCAAACAAACTAAGCCTAATGAATAATGTACTAATGTCCAAACCAATCCATCTTGTTCCATAAGCTTGCGAGTCGTGATGGCTGAGCGGCTGAGCCGCTGAGTAGATAACATGTGAAGAGGGATATACTTATGTGACGAGTGTATCTACATATGGATATATTTCATGACTCGAAACACACAACTATGTTTGAAAGTCTTATTCAAATACTCCCTCCGTCCCGCTAACAATGGGACAAGAGGGAGTGACACGCAAATTAATAAAAAGTGGTTTGTGTGGTTGATATTGAATTGATAATGTAAGAATAAAGTAAGAATGATTTAGAGCCACACAAACTTTACCAAATTTGGTATGAGACAATCTTAGTGAGACGGACCGATAAGGTAAAATGGGACAATCATAGCCGGAAGGAGGTAGTATTTTTTAAAAAAATTATAAAAATGACTAGATACACAATATCATGTTAGGGATAAATGTTTTTATATCCATGTTGTTTGGATAATTTTATTTATTTTTGTTAGAGATCACTATTCATTTAATTATATCTATATTGTTCAAGTTATTTTAGGAGAATCTGTTATTTTTTAATATGTGGCATGTTGAACTGCTCAGATATACTAATAATAATTATTGTTGAATATCGAATATGACATTAATAGATTATTAATTGTATTTTGTAACATTTTAATAATGGATTAAATATGTCGCTAGTAACACACCGATTTAGTATATGTTGTTAGTCTATGATAATTTGTTGTATTGGAGGACATGCATGGTAATTTACCATACTGTATTGTTACCGAACCGAAACTTCGGTATACCGAAATGCGGCATAACGAAACTTCGGTAAGGTAACGATATATAAATTTTGTATGTCGAAAGTTTTGGTATGGCAAAGGTATGAGAGAAAATATTCGGTATACCGCACCGAACCACCCCTACACATCATCACTATCACCTACCTCATGATAGTATAAATAGTAATACTTGATCCAAAAAAAGGTGGAATCTCCCACCCCCGGAGCCCCCCACACCCCGACCCGACAGGGCACGTGGATGGATGTAAATCACGGTGACTCAGTCAGCGGAGCAGCAGTAGGCCCATATGGCCCGTGCGCGCTAGAGGTCCAGCCCATTTCATAGGTTGTGGCCTCAACACGGTCGCTACGGGGACTCGAA